CATCCAAGAGGCTTCGTCAGTCTGAGGCCTAGCCATCTGGTATTACCAGTATTCTGGTATTAAACTATTAGTTATTATTATTAAACTGCAAACATGAAGAAATGTGGGCGTCAAAAACGAAACAACCGAAACTGGTTAGGTGGATTGGACCCGGTGTTACACCATACTCTGTGATGTGCAACAGTGCAACACCGCCCCCTACGGTCATACGGTGGTCACATAATATGACGTCACTACGGATACTCGATGTTAAATTTGAACCTTGATAGATGTCCTAGCAATCGATGTGTAGATTACTCGAGTACTCTGTTAATGCCCTAACTGATGCAAGTCTGGACTTGCCCTTAAAGTAAAAAAAAAAGTTTAAAAAAGTTTAAAAAGCTATAAAAGTAAGAGATGCAAGCAGAACTGGGCTGAACAGTTCTGGGAGCTGGAGGGACATGGGACGGTATTGGATCTGCTCTTAAGCAGTTGGAGAAGATTTGGACAATCCGAAAAAGACTCCTTTTGAGTCAAGATAGGAGCATTCTTTTGTTTCAGCCTGGATTAAAAGCCAAACCAAAATCTTCTTCAAATCAGGACAGTTTATCGAGTGAGGAGCGCACCTTCCCCAAGGCTTTGGGGAAAGGCTTTTACTTGCCTTTAACCAAAAATTTCTTCAGACCAAAGAGACTGAGAAATATGGTAAGGGAAGCTCTGATTTACCGTCCTTTTACAAAATTTGATATAAAATAATAGCAACATTTCTAACCAACCATTAAGGGAATCAGATTAATTTTAGTAACGTTTTGGGTCCTCTGTTCATGAACGCCAAACATCGGAACAGGTTTTACAGAGACAAATAACAGTTTGGAGGAATTTATTGTAGGTTGACCAGGGAGTTTTAGAGTTCTTTGGGATTCTGACACACGCTGGGACTCCGGGCGTGGCCCATCTAGATGTTAGGCAAGCCTTCCTCCATCAGCTCATAAGAGCTTTAAGGATTCCTAACTCCCTATCTCAGCTCATTGAAGCAAGGAAATTACCGCATTTGTTGGGCTTCTTATCCCTTGGACATCAAAATCAATTAATAAGAATCCTCTCTCAAGCAATGTATAGTCTCTTAATTACTGATTCTACTATATAACCAGATGTAATCATTGTTGGATTGTACATTGATGCTGTACCCTTGCAAATCATTGATTAAAGAAAAGCATACAATCTGGACTGTCATTTTACCACCTCATGTACACGGATTTAAAAAGCTTGGTTCATTTCCAACAAATGTAGGGAGGTTTTTATTGGTTAATCAGCTGTGGGTATTAAGACAACATCCTGAAATCCATCCATCCATCCATCCATTTTCTTTACCCGCTTATTCCATTTTGGGTCACGGGGTCGCTGGTGCCCATGTCCAGCAATCACTGTGCGAGGGGCGGGGTACACCCTGGACGGGTCGCAAGTCCATCACAGGGCCACATAGAGACAAACGAGACAAACAAACATTCACTCTCTCACTCACACCTAGGGACAATTTAGAGTTACCAATCAGCCTAACATGCATGTTTTTGGACTGTGGGAGGAAACCGGAGTACCCGGAGAAAACCCATGCATGCACGGAGAGAACATGCAAACTCCACCCAGAAAGGCCCCTGGACCGGGGTTTGAACCAGGGACCTGCTCGCTGAGAGGCAGCAGCTCTACCAGTTGCGCCACCGTGCTGCCTTCCATCCTGAAATCCTATTCCTGAATTCTAAGAAGAACCAGATCAGAAAGAATTGCCATTTACAACAAAAGGTGAACAACTGTTAATGTGAGTTTCCCTGTGGACGACAATCCAACTCCAGCTGCTAGGTTGGGTGAATCACGAGGTGAGATAAGGGTGTGGCTCACAGATGGAGGCCATTAACAAATCTGGGCGAGTCACCTTCAACACAGTTTTAAGTAGAACTAACCTAAGATTACTCTGGGTAATATTCTGTTTGGACTTTGCTCCTTATACCCCTTACAGGATAGGCTGCAGTGGGGTTTAGCCATAACTCAGGTGGTAACTCCATTGGGTAGATAAAACACCGCCTATCATGGTGCGCTGATTCATAACTGGCTGTAACTACCGTACCCACCACTGCACCCAGTATTCACTAGTTAACTGGACATCATTAACTTCATGCAGACTCTCTCACTGGCACATTTTCATCTATAAATCACTTCTTGGTCTGCTGCCTTCAGCCTCCTACATGTCAATGCATGAGTGCAGTTACAGCGTGCGCTCTCAGGACATTATTACCTGCAGTGTTCCCTCAGTGAGGACTGAACTAGGCAAAAGGGCCTTCTCCTACTCCGCTCCCGTTTCCTGGAATATCTTGTAAAAAAGATCTGAAGCGCTCAACCTTGACCTGTCTAAGTGTCTTTAAACATCTAAGTTCATGGGAAGAAATGTTGCAGACATGTTCCTGTTTTTAGTTTTCTACATTCACCTTATAATCTAGCTGTTTTTTTGTTACTTTTTTTAAATATAATTTTATTTTCACTTGTTATTCTCAGTTTGTACACATTGTTTTATGATTGTCTGTTGTTGCCGTCCACTGTTGTCATTACACTTTGTTAAAATCAGGTCTCTCTTGTAAATATCATTATCTACACGTAGGATCTCACACTGGTTCATCTTCATCTATAAATCACTCC